GTAGACATATATATATATACATATATGCATTAATATCATATAATATCATATACATCTACATCCACGACATAGTATTTACACACATCTGCATAATATGTATGTACACAAGTTGTACTCTCAGTCTCTACACACATGTATATATATATATATACACATACATACACATATACACCTGGTCGGTGGATTCAACCCCTCTGAAAAATATTATATAGTCATAGTCAGTTCGGTTTGTTATTCCCAATATATGGAAAACATGTTCCAAACCACCAACCAGACACTTTTTTATTATACACAAATATCTAGACTCTAGACACATTTAACAGCTAGAAACACCTGCTTCCATGATCCTTCCAACACCCTTCAGGATGGTGCCCCCCAGTTATAAGTTGGTTTATAAACCCCATTAACTAGTTCGTTATATCTGCCATAAACCATAGTGAAATGGGAGTTATTATAACCAACTTATCAACTATGGGGCACCACCTTGTTCCTCTCCCCAAGGCACCCATTTGGCCACTTGCAGCGCCGCTCCTTCGTCCAACGCCGTGAGCGGCCGCGAGGCGTGTGAGTAGCGACGGATGAAGTTCGAGGCGGCGCGACGTGCTTGGTGTGGCCTGGGGAGATTTGTTGGGAATGTCTGGGGCGGGTTGGGATAATGTAGGATGGGGTTAGAATACATTTTTCTGTAAATAGATATATATATATGTATATACATATGTGTATATATATATATGTATATATATATATGTATATATACAGTATATTACATCATTGGGCACCATTTTTAGCCAGGGCTATGAGAAACAGGGGCTAACGATGAGACTGGTGGGTCACGTAATTTGGAGGTGGTAATTGACCCACAATTTTTGTTTTCAGGATCTCAGCAGACCATCCATGCCCAGATGGCCCTGCCAGGTGTAAATGAGGAAGAAGGGATATTTGCAGGTGAAAAAAATGCCAGGGCGATTGCTGAAAAAAAATGGAATATGACTCATATGACTAATTATTCATAGCATCTAATAGCCAACAAAACATGAGCCAATTTAAAAAACGGGTAGCTGTTTACGACACCTTGGTTGTCAAGCCCCTCCTAAAAAAGTGTCCCATCTGGTGATCCAAGTCTGGGGATGAGGGTTATCCCAATCCAAATCAAGAGGACTTACTTATCGAGATCAAGAGGGATTACCATTGCTTTGAGAGGATTGATATTATTTGATATAAAAAAATCTTGGGCCCTTAAAAATTCGACAATTCGATCCACATCAATTACCCTCTGGTAAACATACAAAAAACTATGGAAAATCACCATTTTTAATGGGTAAATCCATTATAAATTGCCATTTTCAATAGCTATGTTAGTTTACCAGAGGGTATTGTATAACTGTTGTCTGTTCCTGTTGGTGCCTGGATAATCTCGTGCTAAAACGTCTTCATCTAAGACGGACAGTGACAGCGAAAAACGGCTGTGCCTTGACTATTGACTAAGCGGTCAGAGCTGACAGAAAGCCTGCCAACTCATCAGTATATCCAACTTTTCAAATCCCATGAAAAATCACCATGCTTCATGGTTCAATATACTATTACATTATATGAATTATATGACATTCAAATCCATTGCCCGATACATCCCGATAGCTCATTGGAAAACTGATCCGTTTTCTCAGCCGGTTGGTGGACTGGATCCGGCTTTGGCTTCCCCATTCAAATTCATCCCTATTGGTTGATGGTTTTACCATGAAAAAAACCATCATTAATCCACATGAAATGTTAAACCATTGTTGGATATGATGGGTAAAACCATGGGTAAAATGGTAAAACATGGGTTTTCCATGATTGGTTGATGATCTTTCCATTGTTGATTTGTAACCACCATGGTATATTAACCACAACTCATTTCACACCTCACCAGTTGACGCCGTCGGCGCCAGGATTTTCTACCAAGCAGCTGTGTTTGCAGCACTTCCCGACCCTCCGCAGGGCCCAGCGTCAGCATTCCCGCAGCCTGCGAAGCAATCAAATGACAATGTGTGACATCTAAACGTATATACAATATAACATTATATTATAATATAATATAATATAGTATAATATAATATAATATAATATAGTATAATATAATATAATATAATACTGTATAATATAATATAATATAATATAATATAATATAATATACTATCACCACCCTTTTAAAGGGGGGACGTACCCAAAATGTAAGCTTCCTTTTTCAAGGTGTTTTTGAGGGGGGCCTTGAAAATGTAAGCTTACATTTTGAAGGTATTTTGAAAATCCTCCCCACAAAAACGACACCTGGGGGACGTTCAGCGACCAAATTTACGTTTGGGGGGGTCCCCAAAAATTTATCTTACATTTTGGTATGGTCCCCCCTGAAAAGTAGCCTTAAAGAGGTGGTGATCAAATAATATAATATAATATAACAGAAAATAACATAACATAATATATATATATATATTATGTTATATATGGAGCTTTCCTAAAATGGGAGGTGCCTCCGAATCGTTCAAAATCAGACACTTTTAGTATTGAAGCCTATGGTCTTGGGGATCCTCCATTTTAAGAACCCCCCATATATATATATATACACAATTATATACATACATAAGTCGTAGGTACCACGCATGACAACTATTCCAAATGATTCTTCAGACTGTTCAGGCGGGAGCAGCATTTGCAAACTTTGCAAATTCACATCTAGTACCATGGAGCACCGCTCAGTTTTGACTTCCGTTATCTACGGTATCATGACATACACCTGAATTTGTCCACAAATGGGGTATACACAAAATGCCCTGGCCAACATATTTCCCATGAATTGGTCATTTTGGGAAATATGTGTGTTAGATATACCATGATATACCCAACATATCCACTGTTCATTGGTTAAATATGCCTACTACCTTTGTCAATGGTTACCTATTTTTGATGGCCATGTTGGCTGGTTAGAGTCCACCATTTTCAGAGCCGATGTGCCTTGGCAGAGTCAACCACATCTTGCCCTCGCTGCGTGCGAGCAATGATCAGCACCTTGTGGCTCATCATCTGTCGGAAACTTCTCTGGGTTAAGCAGTGAAACAGACCATACCATCACCAATTAAATTAACCAATCAACAGGGCTATCGGGTTACACTATGGTTACACTCTCATGGCTGCAACCAAGTGTCCCAACCGTCCCACTCGTGTTTTCGCTCTTCCGTAATGGCATTCCGTCGCTCTGGCAGCCCGTTGGGCCAACAGTCCATGACCACCACATCTGATTGATATCCTGCAAGAACGTGGCTTGAACTGAAGTTTCTTAATGTGGATACAGTACCCTCTGGTAACTAAACATAGCAATGGAAAATGGAACATTTATAGATGTTTTGCCTATTAAAAAGGCTGATTTCCATAGCTATGTTGAATTGCCAGGGTATGTGGTAAACACTAAAGAACCCCAAAAGCCAAGATGGACTGCTCATCTGCTTCTCATGCCCGTAGGAAAAGCCAATCGATCTTCTTCACCCATCAAATCCCATGAAACAAACTGTGCGGCCTGATATAAAGCCACAAAATTTCAATTTCTAGGAGGAAATCATCTTCCCATACCTTTTCAACATGTGTGAAACCATTTCTTGAGGTGATGTACATCACTTTCATCCCCCACACCTAAGAAGTCGGAGCACATCTTGCAACGCCACCTTAGTTTGGCAACTTCCGGGTGGATGCTGGACCTCGACCTGGCTGCTCAGCCTCAGCTTCCGGCTGATAAGTGAGAGGTCCAGCCTCCTTACCATTGTAGAACCAAAAGTCCACGTAGTCATCAGCAACTTCACCTCACCGAACAGGCAAAAAAACCAGGTCAGCCTTGCATCTTCCTATGATTCGGGTTGCAGCCCATCTGCTAACAGTAACAAGTGCGCCACCTTCAGTCTGTGGTTAGATTCCAGGCCGCAAACTATGCCCTGTTGAAGAAAACCCAATAACTGAATAGGGAATATGGACACCAATAGCCCATAGCTGCTTAGCTCCCTCCTAACTAACGGATGGTACATGTAGAGCTGTATCTTGATTAATCTGATCCCCCTAATACTCAACACTCCCATTCTATAGTCGCAATAAAGTGATTTCATCCCCTATATATATGTATGTATATATATATATCCACCTTGGTTTCTTCCTATGAATGAGGGAAGGGATGAATTATAGTTGGTTAGTTATAAACCAGTATATCCCCATTGATACAGTCTTCCATTAAACCACCATGCTTGATGGGTTGAACATACCAAGTGAGCAATGTTCAAAACCCGCTGATCTTCCACCGTGCCACGTCCGTCTTTGGTTTTGACGTAGGGTGTGTGCCCCGGACAGCCATGGCCACGCCAGCGGAACTCCTGCAGAAAAAACATGCCGATTGAATGGTGGATTCACCATCAACAAATAGGGATTTACTAGGAATCAAAAGGATTTCATGGGGATAGATGGGGATTAAATGATTAATGGTGTATTGAACGGGATTTTGTGGAATTCTATTGGGATTTAATAGGGATTTTAATGGGGTAAACGCCCTAGTGGCAGCTTTAGGCGTCACAAACCCCTAGGGCAGACGCCCTAGTAGTGGCGCCCTATACAACGTCCCTCTAGGGTAAACGCCCTAGTAGTAGCTTGGGTAACACCCAAAGAGAAAAGCAAATGAAGCCAGTTTGGCTCACCCTTGAGCCAAAATCTATTCATCAGCTTACATGCTCACCCTAATGATAATGCACGCCCACAGCCTGCCAAATACGATGCATACAAATATTATGCATTATTAGCGGATACTTTTACAGTAGTGGTATCTTTTGCAGTTAATGAGTGAGTTTGCATCTTTTCAACATAAGATATAATAGTCAGAGGCATTTCACACTTCCTTTCCCTCTTGAATATGACATGATTGAGATGCCTTAGGTTCATGGTAAGGCTGATGCTCAACAAACCATGGCTTTTTGTGAATGAGGCAGAAGCGGGAGTTACTTCATAAGGAGAAGTGCAGAGCAGCCCTTTCCAGAAAAAGATCTTTCTCTCTCTCTCTCTATATATATAATATGACATGTACAAATATCTACTTTATCAATTTTCTTATTAAAAAATGAAACCCTTGGCGTGATGAAACATCCAGGGTCCTCCACTTCTGAATGCTCAACCTCGTGCTGTTTCAGAAATTTGTCCACACAGACCTAGGTGAAGTTGGAACTCAGAGTCCACACCATCATGCCCAAAGTTGACCAGCCATCATGACCCCAAGATAAAGGTTTTCCAGGCAAGATGATCATCTGTATTATCGTGAGAACTCACCAAAAAATCGGAGTATCATCCCGTGGTTTTGGGGCTGAGCGTAGCCTGCCCCATTGAACCAAGTAACGTTATCAGCGTAGGTGCCACAAGAAACTGTCATCAGACACTTGCAGAGTTCATCCACTCGGGGATCCACCTTTGCATAATTTCCTTGGCGTCTCAAAGATGCCAAGTTTTACTGCGAAAACGGGCTGTGTCAGGTGCGTCTGAAAATGTGGAATACACAAAAAAAATGCCAATACTTGAATTCTGAATAGGGAAAATATGCATATATATATATATAATATATATATATATTATAATATGTTACACTCATTTATAAGCCAATGAATAAAGCCATCAGTCATTCTGAATTGGGCTTTTCCCATCAGACAAAGCCTGTCTGAACCTATACATCGAGGCCGCGTTTCGGACTGCATTGATGTCGCAAGGCTTGGCCACCACAGCGAATGGGCGCTTCAGACGCAATGCATCCTGCGGATGCAGCGGCTGACATCAAACAAGGGATTGATGGTGACACTATGATACTGGGCAGCAGTTGATGGTTAGTTATATCAAGTTATATCCTCAAAATCCACCAACAAATGGATTGATAATCTGGTTGGTGGTTAAGCCTACCCCTCTGAAAAATGCTGGACTTCGTCAGTTGGGATGATTATTCTCAATGGAAAAATTAAAAACGTTCCAAAGCACCAACCAGTATAGTATCATTATGTGAAGGCTCCGTAGTTAAAAACCTATAGTATCATAGGGTGTTTCACTTTAGCAAAGGCTGGCAAAGGGACAAGAAAGACCTTTGGCATCATACTGAAACTACCTGAAACGTAAATCTACACATTGCTCCAAACCAATCGCATGCAATCATGTGGGAACGGATTCATATTTGCCTTCCAAAATCGATGCTTGAGTGCTAAAATGACTTGGAATTTTCATGGGTCCATTCGGTCAAAGTTGACCCCCAAACCAAAATAGTTCACTATAGTTCACTATAGTTCACTATAGTTCACTATAGTTCACTATCAATCAACTCTAAATCCTAATCATTCTAGCTAACTATGATTAAAACAGCATAAATCATATTAAATCTCCTGAAATCACCTTTGTTTGTTGTGAAATCACTATAAATCCCCATCTTTTTTGGTGTACCCATAGCCATACTCTAGCCTATGCTCCACCGCAAAAAAAGTCCCACCATGTCTCACCTCCAATGACTTCAGAGGGGCCACCGGACCGTAGCGCGAACCCCTGCCATCAAAGACCTGCAGTTGATGTTAGTTATGTGTAGTAGGGAGGAAAAAACCATCAATTTGACCATGGCAAACCATAGTTGATGTTAGTTAAGTGTAGCAGGAATTTGACTATTTAACCATCATTTGACCATCATTGAACCGTCACTTAAGCATCATTTGACCATCATTTAGCCATTATTTAACCTTCACTTTAGTGGTATTTAGTGGGGATTTGCTCATCATTGAGAAAAAATATTTTGTGTTTTTTTTATAGCCATCGATGTTTTCCTACTCCGAGGGAATATAACTGTATCTGAAAATCATGTATTCCATGTATTCCCCCCTCAAATGGCAATTTTTATTGGGGAGAACTGTGATTCACCAGCAGATTGGGGCACCAAAATGCCATGGGAACTCAGCACACCAATTCTTCTTCCACCTCTTGGATGGGACAGTTTCGTGTGCAGGAATGAACCAAAACCAAATTTCTGGTAGATTCGATCCCAATTTTGGGTTGTTGAAATTTGCCAGGTAATCTATCCCAAACATGAACAGCATTTGGTACATACCCCAACTTGGGGACAAACCCGCATGATGGAGACATCTGCAAGAAATCATTCCTCAGATGTTGATCCTTCAATACCAATATGTTGCATGCAAAAATTCCATGTTTCTCCCCAAACCCATATTTTTCCGATTAAAAAAACATCTTTGATGGTGAAGCCATTGTTAAAACCCCATCTTGATGCTTCAAAAATCCCCCATGGTCACGCCTCAGCACTGGTGAAGCTCAGCTTTGAGCCCTGTGTGGTCTCGTCACTGTAGAGAGCGCAGGCCTTGACGTGCACCACGAAATCTACCTGTAGGCGATGCATCGGTTCCGGGTTGGTTGGTCAAAAATCCAGGGTTTTCTGATAAATTTCATGAATTTTCCATATTAACATGGTCATTTTCATTAATTGTCCATATTACATGGATTTAAATGGCAATTTGGAGGATATACCCAAGTTTTAGACACACTCATGATGAACATGGCTTTTGATGCTGGCCATCAAACTCATCAAACTGCAGCGAGATGAGTTTACATAAGTTGTCTTTTAATTTTGTCAAAACACGATCTATTATGATCTACTATGATCTTAGAAAACAAAAGGAAAAATGAAAAAAAAAAACACTTTTGTTGAAATGCAAAGACTTGAAATTCGGCTTCAAGTGCGAAATGCTGAAACTTTTTCTGCACACTCCGCACACGAGTCCCCTACTGAAACCGAACCAGGGCGGAATTCTGCAAGTCCTCCGCTCGTTAAGTCCTTCCTCGACAGTTCAGTGTCAAGGTGGTTGCAAAACTATGCAAAACATGTGGTCCGAATCCCGAACGAAACAAATGTGGAACATCCCGGAAAGCAACAAAGATTGCAGCACATCACTCTATCGTTGCCTTCTCAAAAGCTGCGAAACGTAGCGGATTCTGTCTTCGGGACAGATCGGGACCCAATGTCACAGAGGTGAGACTTAGCCCTGGGGACCATTGCCACCCAGGCCACCCAGGTACGCCGCGCCGCGCTCATTTGGGACCATCACCCGGTCCAAAGTCCTCCGGCTTTCGTTTGGGTTCCAGCTTCCCCGTCTCCTTCAAGTTGTCAAACATCTCCAAGGCGTTCAGGATCGCCTGATCCATGTTGAAGTACTTGTAAGAAGCCAAGCGCCCCACGAAGGCCACACCTTCTTCCTTGGCGGCCAAAGCAGCATACTTCTCATAAAGTTCCCTGTTGGCAGGATTTGGAACGGGATAATATGGCTCACCCTCAGCTGAGGAGAATTCCCTGGCGATAAGACTTCCTTTCACCTTCCCTTCCTTCACCGCTGTGGGTTGGTTGGGGATGTGCTTGTACTCCACGATTCGCGTGAAGGGCACATCAGGCGATGGATGGTTCACCACCATAGCCTCTTGGAAAAAGCCTCTCTCCGGATCCTGAAGAAATTCCTCCTCAAATCTCAGAGAACGATACTCCAACTTGGGCATGCCCAAAGCTGCATAGTAGCTATCAATCTGCCCCGTGTAGACTAACAACTTGTGCTCCGGCAAGTTCCCTTCCTGTTTCTGCTGGAAGAAATCACAATTCAGTCGAATTGTGATGTTGGGATCCTTCAGCAGCATATTCTCAAAGATCCGAGTATAGCCACGGAGTGGCAAAGCTTGCCATGGGTCAGGGAAGTAGCGATCATCTGTGGTGGTGCGACAGGGGAGCCGAAGGAGAACGCTGGCATCAAGCTCCTCTGGGTATTTATCCCACTGTTTCTTGGTGTAGTGCTTGAAGACTTTCTCGAAAAGTCGTGGCCCCACCCTGGATAAAGCTGCTTCCTCGCCATTCTTGGGTTCACCACTGGCCGGAGGTATCCTTTCCTTGTCATACCAAGCTTGCATCTCCTCTTCGGTCTTGATGTTCTCCCCAAACAAAGTGTTCACGGATTCTTGTGTTGGTGGGATTGGGACCAATCTTTTGACCCCGTCTTTGTCAGGGACCAAGCCTTTCACGCGATGATCAAAGGGGATCCACTCCGAGAACTCTAAGACGTAGTTCCACACACGCTCAAACTGCGTGTGAAAGAGATGAGCTCCATACTTTGAACATCTGATGCCGTGTTCATCCACATAGTCATAGCAATTGCCCCCGATGTGGTCACGCTTGTCGATGATCAGTGAGCTCATACCTAGCTCTTTGCTACATCGCTCTGCCAGCACTGCACCTGACAAGCCGGCCCCTACGATCAACAAATCGTAGGACTTGGCTGTTGTGGAGAGATCTCCACTCAAAACTGCTCCATCAAATTCGAGTGGAGCTTCTGATGTTTCACCACCTTGGAAGATTGGATCCTTTCCCACCGTCTCTTGCACTTTGTTTAGGGCGGCCCATTCGGGTTCTGCCCGCCCCACTCCAACGCTGGAGGCGAAGGGTCCTGCCGGCATGGCCCTTTGGCCCCGGCAAGGGCTCTGCGAGCAGAATCGGGTCGGTGGTCTATGAGCCAAGCGTCCCAGCCAAAACGTCATGGCTGTCAACATGTCTGTCGCTCCACAAAAAGTCTGATACAATATAGAGATCAAACAGTTGTTAGCATCAAAATCTATCAAAAGATCCCAATTTTCATCAGTTCCATGATGTTCAGATATTTTGATATTTTTCATCAGTGTGAGCTGATTTTCATCAGTTTATGGATGATATTTTCAGGCTCACATCCATATCATCCATGGGCAAAACCACCAGCTTCCATCCCACCCCACCTGCTTCGACTCGATGAGATGCACCCCCAAAGTGGTGAGACCGCCAGCAGCCGCTGCCTTGAAACCTGCCGGCTGCGGAAGATATCCCCACAGTATTCCTATGGTGTTAACTTAGTTACCCTCTGGTAAACTAACATAGCGAACTGGAAAATCACCATGCTACTAATGGGTAAATCCACTATTTCTATGGCCATTTTCAATAGCCATGTTAAATTACCAGAGGGTAACTGGGAATAATACTGAGAAAATATGCTGAAAACTCTAAGAATATTTGATGGAATATGTTTGGAATAATTACTGTAGATATTTCCACAAAGCCAATATTAGTATCAATATGATTCTATGATGTAACATTATCTCCCACAAAAATGCTTGATTGACTGATCATGACTGATCTATGCAAATCTCTTTCCGACAAACGGGTTGTTCATTGGCCACGTACTATTCCTTTCATGATCCATTTCTTGTTGGGGGTCAATTTTCACCGACACCGAAAAAGCTTAGATTCGATAGGGGCTTCTGGAGTCGTTGGTTCACTTACCATGCCGCATGGGGTTTAGATGGGGATAATTATCCAACAAATTTCTTCTCCAAAGGGTTTTTTCTCAATGAGGTTAGGAGGTACACAATATATATATAATTATATATAATATACCCTCCAGTAAATTAACATAGACCCTGTCAGATAGGGGTTGGAAGATTAGTTTCCATTAAAAATTGGTTATTTTCAGGGTCTATTTTAATTTACCAGAGGGTACTATATATAATATAATATATATATAATATAATATAAATATAATATAATATATATAATATAATATATATATATATAAAATATATATATATAATATAATATCATATACATAGTATCTATAATATATATATATATATATCATATATATATATAATATAGATACTATGTATATGATATTATATTATATATATATTATATTATATATATACACTGTATATATCATATATCCCCGAACCCAATCATCAAGTTACGTGCATCAAGGGGTCGTCTCGATTCGACCGTTGTCAAGCTATGTCAAGCGACGGGTCTCTGGATCGGAAGCATAGCCCCGTTGAATGGACATCACCTGGGGCGAGGTGTCCCCGGTGCCATGGGAGGTTTCGCCTGGGAAAATCCATGGGGAAAATCCATTGTGTTTGATGAACCGGAGGCTAATTCTATGTGATAACATGTGATAACTAATGATAACTATACATCCAATGGAAATTCAAACATGTTTGTAACATGTTCTAATTCAATATATTTGGTAGATTACCCCCAGTTACGGGGCATTTTTAAAGCCCCATCACAACGGGTTCAAAGCCCACCAGTTGAATCAGTGCTTCAGGCCCATACAAATTGATGTAAACTGAGCTTTTCTCCCAAAGGGATCCTGGATCATACCACTGTCTCAAGGTTGAAAATCACTGGACCTTTCATTCTGTTCATGCAGTCTCTACCTACCTTCCACCACTTCACTCTTCCTTCCGCAAGTGAAGCGTGAGTCTGACAAGGATAGAAATGCTCATCTGCTCCAAAGAACTCTGATACTGAGAAACCAAGTCGCAAATGTCATGAACATTCGGAGAGTATAGTTGAGTTGACATATGACGTATGTGCCATGGTCAAAAACATGGGAGTAATATGGTATGGTCATCCATTCCATAATGGGACTATATGGGACTGCAAACATCATGGGTATACTGGCCATCCAGTATGGGTACCCCCTCAAGCCTTGCCCACAAAGGCTTCCATTCCAGTTGTCGGTTTCCAACCTGTTCATGGCCATCGGGTGGGTTATTATGGTTCAAAAAGTCAGGGCCCCTAGGTCACTAGCTTCAATATGTTTCGTTCTAAGATGGTCTAACTTAGGACAATTGCGATCCCCATTTCAATATCTAGTTTCAATATCTAAATACTACAGTAATGTCTTTAATCACTTGGATCATTTGGGGTTCCCAAATTATAACCCTTGGACACCACACCCGGTAGGACAAAGAACGCGCCTGGAAGACTGCTCACCTGCCGGAACTTCCACTTCCACCACCACTGGTAAGCAATAGAATGGTGGACGTGGAATGGGCGTTTAACTGTAATCTTCCATCAAAAATCAAGAAACATCTTACCCTCTGGTAAACATACAAAAAACTATGGAAAGTCACCATTGTGAATGGGTAAATCAACTATTTCTATGGCCATGACATCGCAAGAATTTGCTGCGATTCTGAACCTTTTTCAGACAAACCCAAATATATTGTCAATTTGATACATCCCAAGTTGTCTCAAGTGTATCCCAATGAGTATCCCAAAATTGGTTGGTTGTACATGATACAAATGTTCAACATATCCATATATATATATATACACATATATATATATATTTATAGATATATGTATATATATAGATATATGTATATATATATGTATATATATATATATAGATATATGTATATATATATATATGTATATATATATAGTATAGCATTATCCCATGAAAAATCCGGTTGTCATTCTCCACCCCAGTGGCCCCCAGCCTGAGCTCCTGGGCAGGCGGCCAATGCCTTGCCATGCACTTCAGCCTCAAGGGCCTGTGAAAGCGATGGAAACTCTACGGAAGTGGAATAAACAAATATCTATACGTGATTATATATAATATGATTACATAACATTATATGTGATTATTGTACATGTATATATATATATGTTTATTTATTTATCAAATAAATATATATATATATACATAATTAGATGCAAACTATACATATGTGATACATCATAGAATGTGATGTAGTGAAACTTATGTCCAAAAATTTCGCACCCGGTTGCCTTGTGGAACACCGGTCTCATCCTCTGCTCCGGCGGAAGCACCTGGCAGCCCCGTGCAGCTGGCGCTGCCATGGTTAATCCCTTGTGATTCTCCATGACTATGGGGATATCCAATGCTTAATCCATGATAATTCTCCATGATAAAATGGGATGAATGGATGGATTCTGATATTATGATGGATGATTCTTGGACAGTGGATATATGTGGATATATGTGGATATATGTGGATATATGTGGATATATGTGGATATATGTGGATATATGTGGATATATGTGGATATATGTGGATATTCAAAATGCTGCTCCTGTCAGACCTTCATGGGCTGTCCAGCCTTCATCTCGATGTACTCAGGACCCGCGATACTCTCACAGATGCCGCATCTGCAGTTGCTGGGATGGGTCGTTGCAGTCATGGCTGCAACAAACTGGGGTGATTCGACATGGCCCCCAAAAGACTCCAAAAAGATAGAGAAGTAGATGACCATCAATAGTTTCAAGTAGCCGTTCAATCTTTTTTTGGGAACCCTGTGCTATCTCATTGAATGTATCAAAACTAGGATACACAAATCAGGCATAGTTGCGTAGTTCAATCATTTAAATGATATCAAATGATCATACTAGATGCTTCCAAATTGGGCCTGGAAAAGATCTTGACACATCCTGAAACGGGTTCGTCTAAAAACAAGAACAAGGTACCCCTGTGGCCCAGTGGTTTAGAAAATCATCTTTCCCTATAAAAACCCAGTCATTCTCTCTGGCCGAATTATAATATCAAAGACCCCTCTCACATATTCCCACTCTTGTCCCACTTTTTTTTATCCTGTCAAGTCCCAATCTATCCCATAGAATATCCCGTAGAACATCTTTTTTAAATCCCATTAAACCCAACCCATGCGACAAACATCTCAGCTTCAGACCCCATACAGTTCCCGGAGGACACCACTTCCTGCAGTGAAGCCGGCGCTCGTATGTTGCTGCGATCAAACCTGGGACGAGGAGGCGGCATCATTTCCTACATCACATATCATGACTCACCAACTTGCATACAGATTAATATACAGTCTACATGTCCATAATTGTGTATACATACATATTGTGAGGTGTGTGTGTATAATAATTGTAAATATAATAATAATAATAGTAATAATAATAATAATACACACATATAATCATATAATAATATAATATAATCATATATCATATATATATATATGTAAACACCAACTTCACCCTCGAACTGTGGCCAGAGGCCCACCAAGCAACTTCGCTGCGAGGCTGGCGAGATCTTCGATATCCGTCATGGCGAGTCGGCGACTCCGGGTGTCGATGACCGGATCGATGACCTGTGGATGACCTGACTCTACTGGGCTTCACCAAATCTGCTGAACCAAGCGCCTCACTTCGCAGTCAAAATGTGGTTTCCCCTCAGCCCAAAGCTGCGGCGCGAAGGTGCCATGCAGAAAGCTGCATGAAACTTCCTCAATCGCAGGGCCCTTTCCCTATAGTGTATGGTATTATGGTCATCCATCCCAAAATGAGAATATATTATAAATCCAAATCATTAGGATTTATAATATATGCTCATTTGGGGATAGCTATATATATATACAGGTTGGTGGTTTCAACCATCTTGAAAAATATGAGTTCGTCAATGGGAAGGATGACATCCCATATGTGGTGGAATATATATATATATTATATCATGATGCATCCACTCTATCTCCGCTCCCCTGTGATTCCCATGCCCTTTTTTTTGGTCGCCCCAATCAGGCACCGTTGCGGGCTTCCGCTTCCGCTTCACCCCATTCGATTCGCACCAGGTCCTGCTTTACGACAAGTGCTTGGGGATTCAATGAGTTATCCTATGATGGGAATGACCCTGATTGGATGTATGGGGATTGGGAATGGGATGACCCATGACATGCATCTTCATTGGGAATTTATGATAATTTATGTGGATGTTGAAATATGTTGAAATAAAAAAAACTTGGAAATCACAGGGGATTTAGCGAACTCATGTGGGGATAAAATGGGAGATAATTGGGATAGCCAACTCAATATGATGTGCAAGGGTTCGTCTGACAACTGGGTATTCCCCAAAATGGCAATTTTGATGGAAAGATGATATCATATTCTGATATATTCTGATGGATTTCCATTCCCAGATACACTTTGATTTGGTTCTATTGAATGTGAATTCATCATTGCCATCTGGGCCATTTGATAAATATGAATTTTTAGTGTCTAAACGATCTTGATGATTGGCCCAGGGTGATACGTTGGGCGTCGAACGAGATCTCTTTCGGCGCTGTCTGGATACTTTGCTGTACAGCACATTTCTACACCGCCGTGTTCATGTTTTTCCTAGAATTTGAGACTACTGTACTGTAAGACATGGGTATGGGTCAATACCTATAGATACATTTTTAGTGGGATGAACTTCCATTTACCAGCTATTTTGGGGTTCACCAGGGGTACCAGGGTTTTGACACACTGCCACATTGTAAAGACCATTCATTTTCACTGGATGTGAGTAATACGATGGTGACAAGATCCTCCAGTGGAATTCATCTCTGTTTTCACGGGCAAAACCTGCAAAACCAATGGAAAAACTGCATCCATCATAGAGATGTAAAACGTTATACAGCTATGTATCAGCTATGTACTGTTGTCTGAGATACCCAACTTACCCAACTTACCCCCAAAATCCCATGGTTTATCATCATTCCCCCAAACATAGCCATTTTATGGCCTTTCCTTTCGGGGACTTTTATGGCGCGTTGCTGTCCCGCTCACCTTCACGTCTGCGCGACATAAAGGACACTTGGATCGAGAAGGCGTGAGGCGAATCGAGAGGCCACAGTCCTCAGATCGACTCAATATGACTCAGTCTGGTGAAATGAGCTGGTAAAATTAGTAATAATTATTATTACTACTATTATTATTATTAATTATCATTAAATTGTATAAATAGATGAATTATAACTATAATGAGCCGGTAATATGATCTAATGATCTAATTATCATAGTCTGGTCAAATGATTTATAGATATTTAATGATATTTATATAAAGATCTAGTTATATAATGATCTAATGAATGATCTAATGAGCCTATCTCCCACTTGAGTCTACTGTTTTTGTAGCCTATACTGTAATTTGTATTGAGTTTCATATATATTCATATATATATATTTCCATATCAACTGGATTTCCATATCAACTGGATTTTCATATATTCCACTATATTGTAGCCATTCATTTTCATTCGATGTCCATATCAACTGGATCGATCCAGCAACGACGAAAAGGCCAAGGGACGTAGCAAACGCAAAAGTGTCGGCACGGCAACACCGCGGTGTCGCGTGGATTCGTCAGGCCTGGGACTAGCGGGTCAAGTGGGAAGTCCCGGGACTGGAGATCGGAGATCCCCATGGAATTCCAGGGACTTTTTAACCAGAGTTTTACCTATATATCACCTATAAACCATTAGTTGGGATTATGATTATCCCATATATTGCCATATATGAAATGGAAAATAAAATTCATGTTCCAAACCACCAACCAGTTTCATTTCCAAGGTGATTCATTGATTCATTGACCCTTTCTGAAGAGTTCGATACATTTTTTCCAGGGTGAATTGAACACCAATCTGTCATCTTTTGTTGGTGATAGTATATATATATAGTATGTTATAGTTGTAATACAATTGCCCACTTCCTCAAAATCTTGGGCAAGTGATACACTCCTAAAAAAGCCTTCGTACCACTTGGCTCAAAAACCGAGGAACAAATCACGCAGTTCCGCTGAGAGCTGTTGGCATCTTCACTTGCTTTGGCATCCTGGCCATGGGGTAGCGATGGGGTTTGATGGGCTGTTTAAATGGCCAAAGATGGGAAAAATCAAAGGACATATATGATAATATATGGTATATACAACATGACCTCCAAATATGGAAACTGAAGGATGGAGTACATACAACTTGCCATGTTTTGGAGATGACAGAAGTGTCCAGCGGCCAGAAAATCCGAATATGGGGCAGTTCTCGGGATAAAAGATGGAGATGTGGGATTGGATTAAAGTTATACATATCCGATATGTTCAATCCCATTAACAATATTTATATTGGATATTCTTGGATCATAACAGTATAAGCCTTCACAGAAACATCGTTTTTTCATTGTTCATTTCGACCCATACAAAGGCCAATGCCTTTGCCTACACGTGTTTCCCCTAGACTCCGAGCGAGGTTTGATAGATCCTCACCAATTCATACCATAGGTTGCCATCAAATGTCACAAACCCCAATGATAACATTTTACCAGAAATTGCTGCACAACTGTTGCAAAATGGTGCTACTATTATTGAATGTTTACCACATCACTCATTTACTAGTATGATCATTCTTGGATGTTCACTCAAAAAACTACATATTACATCATATTACTATACTATTTCACACCATTTCTTGGTAGGTTACATTCCCTTTAACTCTTGGTTATGGCAGTCATATCCCCATTACTCCCGAGATCAACCAGCCGCCTGAAGTCCGAACATGTCCTTCATCTCAAAAGCTTTGCCGTTGCCTGGAAATCGCTTGGTTTTTTTTTGGGCCGGTCGGAGGGGGAGGTGAAAAATGCCTTCTGGGTGCATTTTTTCGAAATCTGAACAAACAGCTTTTTTGTTCCAAAAAACGACTTCAATTTCCTAAAACCTTTTGGAAACATGAGAATAATATAGAATAATTCACTAGTCACTGAACAGATCGGCCAGTTGGGATAGTTAGCCAACTCCAAGTCCCAAGTCCCATGTCCCATGTCCCATGTCCCATGTCCCATTCCATCTCCGCCATCTTTGTCCACACACAGTGGCAACTGCACGCAGCAGCATCCGTCCCGAGGAATTACTGAAACCAGCCATCGTCAACAGCAGTGTTGTGGTGGTGTCCACCTTTAGAAATTCTGATGGTCAAAATATAAGGAAAATCGATGAACATATGGTGATATATGGTGATTCAGCAATGGATGAAATTCAGTGTCCTATTTTCAATCACGAATCATGAGGAAAACGGATACAAACCGTTCAGTTGGGTATTTGATGGATTGATGGATTGGTTTGAGGGAAAATCAACAGAAAACCATAGCTTTACCCAACAACAATCAGGTTTTCCTGCAAAATTCCCAATGATCCGCTGTCCCAAAATCAACGTGGACAGTATGGTTGGGAACATTGGGAACCACACAAATACTAAAAACAACATGGATTTCTAATAGATGTTTCTGATTTTGAAGACCCAGGCACCGGACGATAGAGAGATCTTCGCAACCATCTTGGAACTGTTTGGAGAAACTCCACGAGGCTCCTGGCTGCCTGGATGGGTGGTACTACCAAGCGACCAGCCACTCTGCCCACCACCAAACCAGGAGCACAGCTGCGTAACTGCAGCAGCAAATAAACCGTCGCCGCCAGGTCGCGGTGGTAATGCCATAAGAGCAGAAAACCTGCTTTTTCCACGAGTTGCTGTGGATTTTCTGCACCAAAGGATAAAGCTTCCAGTGCCCAGTTTCGCAGCTGATCCCGGGTAGTGAAGTCCAATTGCCAGCTTTGCAGATTGGGTTCTGAGTGTCTGGTCCAATCCATTAAGGAGCTCAGACCTGCTCGGTGCCTCAACAAGATCACGCCATGCGCTAAGGAGACTTCGAAAATGGTGAACAGGGACCGAGAAGTCCACAGGAACTGTTCCACTGGATCGAGGTCCCACTGGATGTTGCAATCTCTATGAAAACACAACCTGGTGGCTGAGAACCGGCCCAAAAACCACTGGAGTTCTCTGAAAATCGGGGACCCCAAAATCCCCTGGTTTCTCATCATTTCAAAAAAAAGGCTAGAAAAACTGAGAGATTTTAATCCCAATTTCCTGGTTCCCCTTGGGACCACAACATACCATTTTTTCATCCAGCACTTCGTCCAGCCACAGATCGGTGGCATTCTTTGCAACGCTCACCGTGCTGGGATGTGACTCCTCCAACTCATCCAACTTCCGTCGGGCGCAACGACCTAAAAGTGTGCCCTAAAAAAAGTGCACCGAGGTCAACGGTTTTTTTGTTCAGATCCAAAGGACAAAACCATCACTTAACAAATCTTAACAACATCATACAACATCTATATCATCTATTTTTTCCTCATCTGATGTATTTCAACATTTCAAGCCTTCAGATAAATCATGATAAATCTGTTTCATTCCATATTCTTCAGCCCACCTGCATCATACTCCTCCAGGAAAGACACATGACCCTCCCGGTGGAGCTGTTGTGCTCGTTCTTCCAGGTATCTCAGGTCCTCGATGGCCAGACCATTCAGCACCAGCTGTTGGTTCCTCGTGTCCAAGCCGACCCGAACCCAGGTCACCTGTGGAATAGCTAGACACCGGGAGTATTCACCAGATCTTTCCAGCATCCAAAGGGCATTCCTCAGGCAACAGCGGTTTTGCTTTCCGGTCGTTTTGTAAAGTCTTTGCAAAAATCAAGATATCAGCAACATATAGTATATAAATATATACATAACCTATATTATATAACCTATATATAATACATAACCTGTATAATATATATATATACTAATCATCAACATCAACCAACAATCTTCACTTTCATTCACTTTCCCCACCTGGGACACGGCACCACGTCGTCATATGCCTTACACGTCTTCAGAGGTCGGATGGCCGACAGCGGCATGGAGGAATTGGGCCGCCACTCCCAGGGCGCCACATGGTCCAAACGCCAAGGACCCAGGCGTTGCAGATAGGCCAGGCGGAGCTGGAGATCCACCTGCAATTTTTGGCCACTAAATCCACTAAAAATAGAGAAAATATGGGTGATTTTTCGATATGTTTCAGAAAACATGGTGATGAAACTCGTATTCACTGTATTTTTCATGGGAAAAATATGGAACGCATGATGATTACAGTAACCACTAACCATATTAAAGCCATGTTCCGGCCGAAAAGGAGGATTAACCATCAACATTTGGGGTATATAGCCTGTTTTGAGACAAACCGAACATTGGGGACGTTTTTCAGCAGGAAACATGGTGAGTTTGTCAGAACGAATCCAGGGTCTTTCAGCAGTAAAAATGATTTTTTTATGGTGTCCAACCGATAAACATCGGAAGTTCACGGGAAAACACGTGGGATTTGACATATAAATCTGGCGGTTTAAGTTTAATCAACAAAACTTCTTGGGACTTAAGCAACCAACCATGGTTTAAACGTCTGATTTTACCACCTCAAACCATGATGTCAACCATAAAATCCTGGTCGGTGTCCACCATGAAAACCTCACCTGATAGCGATGGAGTTGTACCTGCACCGTGTGAGTTGGGTCACAGCTGGAGACGAAGGAACACTCAAAGTAGTCGACTTCGAAGCTGGCGCCTTGGGGGTCCATTTTTTTTTTAAACAACCCTTTTTTACGGAGCTAGAAGATAGTTCTACTATGTTCTACTGATGTACAGATGCGCGATGACGATCATAATTATAGCGATATTCAAAATCCTCCAGTTCTTGTAGTTGCATCTTGAGTTGGATACAGTTGTCAGTTGCTAATACGTAATATGCAGCTAATAAAAGTAATTGGGCATAAAGGGCAGAACTGGGTGTAACCGACAGGCGCCCACAGTTGTGGCCTTGCATACCCCAGGGGAGCAAGAGGGAAAACATGGGAAAACCGCAAACAATGCACTCCCCTATCCGCACAAACAACTCAACTTGGACAAAAAAAGTGTTCTTTCCCAGAAACTCAAGTCAATAAGCTGAGGAGCTATGTCTATGCTTGCCTTTCCAAAAGAATTCAGCAAGAACCACTGGCATCTCCAAACATCTCCACCTATTTGGACGAAGTTGCTGTCGCAAACGTGATGCCAAGAGCTGGAAACGCTCTTCTGAGTCAGACCAAACCATGAATTCAATGTCTCCACCTGAAAGGGCACTGGTAAACAAACCATGATAAACCATGATAAATCATCCCCAATATCACCATTTAAATTGGTGTTATAAACATTTATAATTTATATATATAAACTATGAAGCATCCATTTCTGTGCGGTTTATGATTGGCTTCACAACAGATCATCAAGGTTTCCAGAGTACCCTTTTTCAATCCTTGAAGACCGTCTTCCATTTCGCTGACAATTTAACCACCCACCCACATTTCGATTTTCTCCAAACTCAACCCAAACCAAAAAATTACTTTACTTCGTGTGATCCCCACCATGACATTTATACATTTTCTTACTGGCAAATCTTCTGGCATTCTATCTGACATATCTTCTGACATTCTATTTGGCATTCTATCTGGCATATCTTCTGGCATATGATCTGGCATATCTTCTGGCATATCTTCTGGCATTCTATCTGGCAAATCTTCTGGCATTCTATCTGGCATATCTTCTGGCACTCTATCTGACATATGGCATTTCTGGCATTCTATCTGGCATATCTTCTGGCATATATTCTGACATATCTTCTGGCATTCTATCTGACATATCTTCTGGCATTCTATCTGGCATATCTTCTGGCATATCTTCTGGCATATCTATCTGGCATATCTTCTGGCATATTTTCTGGCATTCTATCTGGCAAATCTTCTGGCATTCTATCTGGCATTCTATCTGGCATATCTTCTGGCATATTATCTGGCATTCTATCTGGCATATTCTATCTGGCATATCTTCTGGCATATCTTCTGACATTCTTTCTGACATTCTTTCTAACTTTCTTCTGCACATTCTTTGTCCCATATCTTCCTACATGAGGTCCGGCAGGGAACACTTGGCGTGGATACTCGCGGTTGAGGTCCGGCAGGGAACACTGGGCGTGGATGGTCGTGGTTGAGGTCCGGCAGGGAACACTGGGCGGGGATGGTCGTGGTTGAGGTCCGGCAGGGTTGGAGGTCCGGCAGGGAACACTGGGCGTGGATGGTCGTGGTTGAGGTCCGCAGCGAACACTGTGGATCGCGAGTCGCAGTTGAGCAGGAGGACGAGGAGGACAACGAGAGGAGGAGGACAACGAGAGGAGGAGGACAACGAGAGGAGGAGGACGACGAGAGGAGGAGAGGAGGAGAGGAGGCAGGCAGGAGGAGAAGGCAACTTAGATAAAATCTAACAACCCTCACCTGGCAGGTGGGGAACAACCAAACTCATCCAAACTCCATTTTTCCATAGTTGTTCCATATTTGTTCCCCACCTGCCGCCACATCATAGTTGCCTGGTAGCTGTTCCATTCCCTTGCCATAGCGCATCAACGAGATCAGCGTGCCTTCCGACGGCCACCACTCCGTCACGACCCGGTCAGCCGACCGCAGGGCGCGGGACATGCCCAGGAAGGCCATGCTCCAGGCTGCATCGTAACCTGGGATCGGGACCCACCCGGTCATCCCGGTCTGGTGTAATCCAAATATATGTTAAAATACCTTGACCTACCAAAACCTTGAAATAAGTAGGTATTGACTGGAAAACCGGGTTTTCCTGGCTTCCCATTCCGATAACTGGGTTTTCTGCCGAAAACCAGGTTTTCCTGGAAATCGGATCA